ACTGGCTGTAGTTTAAAGCTGTCATTCGCACAGAGTCTGAAACTGCAGCATATTCAGCTTCACCCCTCTACAAATAAGAAAAGCTTATCCAAGTCTCAGGTAATAGCCCTCCTTGGGTTGTTTTATATTGACAGATACAGTTACTGAATTTTAAAAAATGGTATTACATCAGGCTTTGTGAGAAATTGGAGAAATAATTTATTTCTTTTAATATATGCTTTTATTAATCTGGAAATTCTAAACAAGAACAGAAATAAAAAAATGGAGTTAACTGTAGCTGAAACATCAATTGTGAATTTCTACAAAGAATGCAATGTATGTACATAGAGCATCAGGCTTTCCTGAAATATGTCAAGTTAAAAAAAATATAACAATGACCTTGTTTACAACTGCATGAACTCTTGTTTCAGTTTTCACCTCTCTAAAATACATCTCAATATCCAGGTCTTCCCAAGTGGTACATTGGAAAGAATGAAGGTTGGTCACTTACCTTTTGAGTTTTAGAAGAGGAGGTAGTGACTTTGTTAAAAAGTGTCGAACTAAAGCTCTAGTGATTTTCAAGGTCAGTCTAGTGCATTGATGAATGTGATGCCTCTACACTATAACATGAAACGTTTGTCTCCTGAATGTTTTCTAGGGACATGGTACAGTGTGGAAATAGTTGATGGGGGAGTTTGTGTGTGTGTGTGTGTGTGTGTGAATTAAATCACTGTTGATGACTGATGCTTTGTACTAATATTACACTGAATATTCACTCATACTTTTATTTTACAATGAATGTAAATATTTTATTTTCACTTAATGAAAATGATCAAAATCTGTTGAACTGTTAAGAGATCGTATTTAACCCAAGTATGTTCCCTTTTAAAATATTTCTGATATTTGTATCTTATTTTTGTCTATGTATAGAAAAAAATTAAATATATTAACTCCACAAATGTGAAGCTCTATTGATGAGAAAATTTTGATCTAGGAAGTTAAGTAGGTATGCAGCATGATAAAATTATGTGGTTATTATTCTCTTTGTGACTTACGTTATATGTATGGAAACCTGATCCACAGTATTCTGCCAGTACATTGAGACTTGTGGTGATAAAGTGATTACAAGCAAATGTGACTGTCCTGTAACTGCTAAATCTGATTTCACAAAGTGAATCTAAGGATGTTTATGCATTTTATACATGAAGGACAGGAATGAACATTATGCACCTAACCCAAACTAAGAAATATATTCTGGTTTAGAATTAAATGTATGATTCTAGTGGGAAGAAAAAATAAGTTGAAATTAAGATTTCAGGCTTCAGTACTTCTAAAAATGCTATCTTTATTTTCTGAATATAGATGTAATTGCGTGAGTGTAGAAATACACTTGGAAACTATTAATTTATTAAGCCCCCTTGTTTTAGCACATACTATATTGTTCAGATTTAAACTTACTTATGTTGAACTTGCATTTACATCAACATGATGTTTAAGTAACAAAAGCTTTTCTATGCCTGATTGGTTCAAAAATATGGGGGTTTCATGCTGAGCATTCACATTGATATTATAAAAGTGCTATATATTGTATTTGTGAAAATATATTTTGTTGCAACTATAATGACATGTTGCATACTAATTAGTGATTATTCTGTCTCTAAAATGTTAGACATACTAATAAATATTATTTGATGCTTTACAAAGTGGTGTAATTGTGGATGGATTGGTCTGAATTTCTGCTCTAAAAGCTGAGCATAGTAAACTTTTAAAGATTTATATTTCATTTGTATACATTTCCCCTTGTAGCTGCTTAACCTTATAGATATGATTGAGGTAGTACAGGGACAAAACAAAAACCATCTACAACTCAGCTTTGTCACTCAGTATGCAAAATGTACATCATTGCTACAAATGCATTTCAGATATATTGGGAAGGAAAATTTAAACATAAAAAAATCTGGAGTTCACTTTTTGCCATTGTGAGATATTTAGGACTTATGAGACAATGTGATTAAGGTGATGAATTAGGATTGGAGAATTGCAGGTTCTAATACAGTTTGAGCCACAGATGAGTTTGGACTTGCATACAGCTTGACCTACCTCACAGGTGTGTTCTTGTAGGGAAAAAGAGGCGGAAACACCTAGAACATTTAAATGAAAGATGGGCTATAATTAAGAGAGAAAGAATGAATATTGAGACAGCAGGTGTAAAGGCACTGAAGCTTATTTTGGAGAAATGTTTTTTTTAGTAAAGGAACCAATATGCATATACCATCTAATAGCAAACTGTTTGAGCATAGAGTAATTATGAGTCATTATTTAAAATTCCATTGACAATGCTAAAACATCAGTACTGGAAAGTAAAGTTAAACATTGATGGTAAATACTGTTAAGCCATCAAGTGAGATTAAAGTTGCATTTTCACTAAGTGTTTGGTTTAGAAACCAGTAAAAATTGTTGCAAGTGAGATTAAAGTTGCATTTTCTCTAATGTTTGGCTTAGCAGCTAGTAGAACATTGTAGCTACTGTTATAATTATAACCATTTTTGATGCTCTTTGTATTGCCTCCTGTCCTCTATTTGCTTATAAAGCATTAATAGCAAACAGTATTTTATGCTGTTCAAAAATGCTGTTAATATGAACAATTTAATTTGCAACTCACAAACTTTTGCTGTGCTGACATGGTTATGCTATAAGTAATCCATGCATATCTGTGAGTTAATAAAAATGTAAAACTTAGCAGTTCTGCTGAGCATGCTTGCAACTAATCAAAATGCATGGAGTACCTCCTGGCCCATTGTGCCCTGGGTAGCCAGAAATTGGAATTAAAAAAAAAAAACACCCTTCCAAATAAATAAATTGATAGTAGAATATAAAGTTAGTTTCATAATAAATAAAACTGAATTTCACTAAATTAAAGCAGAGTTAATACACTAGTTCAGGGGTAGGCAACCTTGGCTCTGCTGGCTCAGGAATTCTGGGAGTTGAAGTCCATGAGTCATAAAAGAGCCAAGGTTGCCTACCCCTGAACTAGTTGATGAGCTAAGCAGATCTATGAATTAATTCCTGAACTTTCTAAATCTGGTACTGCTTTCTGGTTGTTTTATATGCATGGGCTTAGCAATTTATATGATAACAAAATTTATCCAGAATAAATTTATTTGGCATCAAAGCCAACACAGAGATAGAATTGCTTCCAAAGCTGTACAATTTGTGTTGTTTTTAGCAAAATATACTTTAAATATGCTTAAAAATATTAATTTAAATCAGATACGTGTACTTGCTTATTAATAAATTGTTAAAATAGAATCAAAGGATACTGTAGTATAGAAAAGGCTTTGTATCATAGTTCTTGAAGAAATCTATTTTAAAAGGCGGAAAGTAGTTCCATTTTATTTTTATTTATTTTTATGAGACTTACATACCGCTTTAAGTGCAAGCACTCTCTAAGCGGTGTACACCAGTAAGCAATGTATATATATATATTACATTGCCCCCAACAATCTGGGTCCTCATTTTACCTACCTCGGAAGGATGGAAGGCTGAGTCAACCTTGAGCCGGTAAGATTTGAACCGCTGACCTGCTGAACACAGTCAGCTAAAGTGGCCTGCAGTACTGCACTCTAACTGCTGCGCCACCTCGGTATTTATTCAAGTGTATAAGTTTAAGTATAAATGAGACAGAAGGTTCTTTCACCAACCAGACCCTAAGCTATTTTGGAACTGCAAAAATTAAACCAACACATTTTTTAAAAAATCAGGAAGGTTTTTTTCTATCAAGCATTCAGTGTAGATCTTCTCTTTTGACAATGGATGATTCATATTCTGAATCAGTAGCTTAGGTGCCATATTTTGCATTTCTGGATTTTCTTTAAGAACTGTTCTAAAAATAAATTTCAATTGCCTAGTCATTACATAATACATGGATAGCTGTTACCTGATTAGCTAGCTCAGGAATGGTTGCAGGTGACACTAAAAGTAATTGCTCTGCAGGATCCTTGCTGCCATCATCTGGGAAATCCAGGAGGATCTACATCAGATCAGAAAGCTTGTCCAGAATGTACATTTCTTCTTTCAAGGGAACCTATAACATGTTTCTAGAATACATTAAATCCCAACCGTTAAGTTTGATTTTATACTGACCACGAACCTTTTTGTTCATCTAATTTAATTTCAATTGACTTATCCTCATCCAGACATTCAAGAGAGTGCTCCATACTTTTTATTTTTGGAATGAGTATGGATTTTTTCAATGGGTTTTTTTCTGCCATTCAATTGAACCCAATTCTCAGAAACCACTTGGACAAGTCCCCGTTGGCAAGGTTTTTCAGAAGTGGTTTGCCATTGCCTGCTTCCTAGAGCTGAGAGAAAATGATTAGCCCAAGGTCACCTGGTTGCTTTTGTGCCTAAAACAGAACTAGAACTCATGATCTCCCAGTTTCTAATTTGATGTTTTAACCACTATTCTAAACTTACTGTCTTCAACAGTATATTGGATTTTTAATACTTTGCGATATGATATATAATCTACATTGACATTGGTATAAAAATAAAACTGAAACAATACTTATACTAATGTAATTCAGATTTAGATAACTTTTGTTCTGAACAACCAAAATACGAATTTTGATGTCTATTTAACATTTATAAGACCATCGAAGTCAAAGTGACTATGAATGATGTACATCAGAAACAAACAATAAACAAAGAAAATAACCAAACTGTTAAAAAGAAGTTGCTCTTACATTTGTCTGTGTGGTATTTTTAGCAACTTCAATAATTTGTCTGCTAGGTTGTTCATGAATTTTGTTTTTATTCTAATGGATGGATTCCTTATTTATTAAATGTACATCTAGTTGTTCTCCGGGACAGTCAGAATGCATAACTAATAATAATATATTTGAAAATAAGTAGTACCCTAGAGTAGCTGTAACATATGGACATTTTATGTATTGAAACTTTTCAGATAGGAAAATGTATGTGTATTGATAATTTAAACAAATTATACCTTTTGTGTGCAGCTTGGCAAAAGAAAAGGTTATGTATGAAAAAGAAGCAAAACAACAAGAAGAAAAGATTGAAAAGATGAAAGTTGAAGATGGTGAAAACTATGCAATTAAAAAGCAGGTAAAGTTCATGAGTACATCATGAGTTACATTTTCTCTCATTTGCTTACAACTCAGAATGTATATTTTGGCTTTGGATATAAACATTATAGCAAATACAGATGGCCACAGGATGTATCATTGTAAATAATTGCCACTGCCTTCCGTGCGGTCATATGACTACATGTCATGTGGATCAGCTGTACAACTGATAGTTGCATTCTGTGGTCATGTAACTGTGATTCATGATGTTTTTTGCCATTTTCCGGCAAAATGCCATTCAAATGAATGGGTCCACTTAATGACCACTTCCTAAAAGGATGAAGAATTATTTCCAGTCATATGGATGCCTCAACCTATGACTTTAATTTCAGAATTGAATTACACTTGAAGGTTGAGGACTTCCCGTGTTAAACTGCAATAATACTTTTCATTGACAAGCAGAAATATCTAGAAAGCAATACTCTGAACTGGGAGTTCAGAGTCAGAAAATGTTGCCTTTTCCCCAAATTCTTCGTAATGTGGGAACCAGTCTTCCTTGAATATACCATTTGTTGCTTCAATAGTTTTTGTACAATAAGGCATTATGTATTAACTAGACAACTGTGCTCCATTGGGTTGTCATTTCAAAGATATTTCCTTATCTAAACAAAGAAACAGAATGACCACGGGTGGGGGAAAAAGCAGTGAGAGCAAGACCAACCTCTGCCGGCTTCCCTATTGTATTTCCATGAGGGAAGCTGGCAGAGAGCATCAGAAATCTTCCTCCCTCCCTTGAGTTCCTGCCTTTACTAGGGTTGTAGTAAGCTTGCAGAGAGAAAGTCACAAGGAAGCCAGCAAGAAGTCGCAGCTCCAAAACTAGCAAGCAGGTAGGGGCTGCTGCTGGATGGGCAAGGGAGCAAAGGGGTGCGCTGGGGGGGCAGCATTTGTATAGGGGAGGTGTAAGATGGGCTACATGGGTTGGGAAGGATGTGTGGAAGTGGAAGAGATGCTACCTGAATAGCTAGGACATGCAGAGGGGTGTGTGCAGGTAGGGAAGGGTGTCTGGGTGTGTCTTGTGAATATGTGAGACATGCCATGTAGGTCAGGAACATTGCAAGGGGAAAGGAAGGGTGAGCAAGAAGTGCCATGTGGTCAGGGAAGACCTCGGGGGGGGGAGTCAGGAAGAGTGCATGGTAGTGCCCAAGAGGTGCCGTGTGGGTTGGGGAAAGCACATGGAGTGTGTTGATTAAGGGAGACCGTGGGGATGCCCCAAAAGTGCCACGTAAGTTAGGGAAGGGATGCAGAGGGACAGCAGGATTTGAGGGACGGGGACAGCATGAGTCAGGAAAGATCTGCTGGGGTTCCTTCTTCCTTGTCCCCCCCCCCTTTCTCCAGCACAGGAGATGAAGAATCCACCAATGGGTTTTCTCTGTCTGCCTGCTCTGGAGACCAAGTTAGCCAAACTTGACACATCCCCTGTTGCTAGGAGATCCAGTTTTGACTTGGTCTCAAGCTCTTGAAGACGTGTCAGGTTTGGTTCTCAGGTATTAGACCATAATAGCAGGTTAGAGATCCATTTGTGAATTCTCCTTGCCTCAATAACCTCCACACCATTCAGGTCAGTAGAGACAACCTGGGAATTTTCCCCCAGCTGTCCCCCTGCAGCACTGGGATCAGTGTTACCTCAAATCGACTGATTTGAGGCTTGAGGGGTAGGGGTGGGGGCAGCTGCAGCTTCCCTGTTTCTCTCTCCCCAGGGCTCTGGGGAAACTCCCCTCATACATCCTTCCCTTGTTAGGATAGTACTGCCGTAGCAACTTCAGAAACTTGCTTTCTGAGGCCTCCGGAGTTCGTTTCGATAGTTGCTGTTGTGGGCGCCATTTTGGTTGCCGCCAAAGGCAACAAACTTAAATTGATAAAGAAGCCGTTCCCCTACTAATTGGAGACAGCTCACGTCAGCCACGCAGCTCCTGGCGCTGCAGCTACGATCCCCTCAGCCACTGTGAACTTGTCTTCGAGGTCCCTGGAGACCGTCCGTAATGGCCAAGGGCCATGGCCGCCATTTTGGTTGCCGCCAAAGGCAATGAAAATTCAAACAGAATTCCCTTGGCCTCTAGTTCATCCGTTAGGATAAATGGCTTAGTCACTCTACCTTCAGAACTAGGCCTTCCACTTACACTGCGCAGCCCTGAATATACAAACAATTACGCAACTCCCCGTGGCCACCATTTTGGATGCGCCACGCTGACTTTTTTTTTAAAGGCCTCATAAGCGCCTTGCTCTAGTAGCTGCAGGCGCCGGTAATTCTGTAGCTTTAGGCTGGAGTTGAGGGGTGCTCGGTCCTTCTCAGCCTACTGATACCGGCCACGCCCCAATTTAATGAGACTGCCATTTTGATCCACAGCTGCCATTTTGTGCTAGGGAGTGAACCTCCTTTCACCAGTTCCTTTGTCAGGCCTTCCTTTCAGGCCCTCTGCGCCCTTCATTGGGTCTTCTGGTGCACCTTGACTGATCACCTAAGACCTCCGGGCGGAACCCATAGCGGGTCCCAACCGTGCCTTCGACCTTGCCCTCACAGCCGTGACCTAAGCCCATAGAGACTTATTACCTGGTAGGTGGTCAGGGGAGCAGTCCACGTTACTTGCTCCAATTACTCTTCCCACCAAATGCTTGCCTGCCAGATCTTCCCCTTCAGGTTCCCTGAGATAGCTCAACCCAGGATGGAGGATTCAGCGGTACCTCATCCCATGAGCACCGCCTCCCTGTCCTCAAGTTACAGCCAGCACAAAACCTCCAAACAGAAGGCAGCAGGGACGCTCAAGAACAAGGCTAAGGCCACCCTGAAAAAGCATTCCAAGTTGGCAGAGAAGCAAGCCAGCCACAGGCACCAGGCTCTGGAGAGGGAGTTCTCCAGAGCGCAGGGGCAGGCCAGAACAGAGGTGGATCATTTGGCGGCCCTGGATTTTTACCTCCCTCTAGGTCCCTCGACCTCGGCTCAGACGTGTAGTCCTTGGCGGACACCTCCACCACACATTGTTCCCCTCCAGCGACAGCTCAGAACACAGCTGCCAGCCTGCCCACAGTTTGAGGACAGGAATCCTCGCACTTGGTCCCTGAGGCCACCTTCACCCCAACGTCGGCTGGACTCAGGGAGCCAGAACTCGGAGACATTTTCTCCAATGGCCACCTTGAGGTCCTGCTCTCTAAGGTTGTAGACCGGGCACTCGCGGCACGGTCTTATCAACTGCCCGGACAGGAGGCTTCTACCTCTGTTATTCCTCCTTATGTACCTTCAGCAGGGATTCCCCTATATCAGGAACCCACGTCTCCCGCCCATTCCTCAATTAGTGGCTACTTGTCCCTGACGGGAGGTGATCAGCCAGATTTCAACTTGTTAGAGGAGGAAGAGCTTCCCCCTGACCCCTCCCCGTCAGGAGACCTTTTCAATCCGGCCTTATTTCTTCCCTTGCTTCGCAAAGTGACTACGACGGCCAACATAGGGTCCGATCAGGGTCCGATCAGTTCCCTCAGTTTCTTCGAAACCGTGGCAGCCCAGCATCATGTTCCCTGTCCTTCTATTTTTCTTAAACGGGTTAAGACGCAATGGGTTTCCCCATCATCTTTCCCCTCCATACGTGCAACAGACAAAAAGATATTTAGCACTTCTACAGACCTAACTGAGGCCCTGGAGGTACCAAAGGTGGATGAAGCCTGGACCCCTCTCGTATCCCAGACTGCGGTTTCCGGGAACATGGCTGAGGCGCTCAAAGCAGAGGATAGAAAATGGGACTTAGCCTTCCAAAAGACCCATCAATCGACCGCATGGGCAATTAAAACGGCCACTTACGCATCCTTCTTTGTCCAAACCACCCTCCTATGGCTTCATCGGCTTCAGGCCACACTCCCTTCCGAGGACATTCGGACCCATCAGGACCTAAGCAAAATAGTTGCGGCAACGGAGTATGCGTCGGATGCAACTCTACAGTCAGCCAACTTTGCTTCCAGGTCCTTAGCCTCCAACGTTACCGCTAGGAGGATGCTACGGCTTAAGCACTGGCAGGCTGACACCAAGGCCAAATGGCATCTCGCAACCGCCCCCTACCAAGGCAACCACCTCTTTGGGGAGGCCCTGAATCCGTACCTTATGGAAAACAAGCGGAAGGTCATGGCTCATCTCACCAAACGGTCCAACAAGCATGCCACTCCTTATCCCTGCAGGCAGTCCTTTTGGCCTGCTTCGGCCTCAGCAGCCACCCTCCCGTCCTTTCATGCCCAGACAAGACTGCCCATATGACCGTCCATATGACAGTGCAGGCTTTCGGCCCAGACTGCAGAATCAAAACAAACGGCCATTTTGAGGGACAGGACGTCCCTTCAGGAGGTCCAAGTGACTCTCATGTCACCCTCCCCATAGGGGGCAGGCTGGCCCATTTCTTCCATCAGTGGGAGATTACCCACGGACAGCTGGATATTACAGACTGTCCAATACGGTCTGTCCCTCGAGTTTCTGTCCAGTCTCCCGGGTCATTTCATCACCTGCCCCACATCTCGGGATCCAATCAAGCGGGGGCTTATGCAGGAGGCCATTCATCATCTTTTGGAAATACAGGCCATAGAACCGGTACCGCCAGATCACAAGGGAAGGGGATTCTACTCTTTCCTCTTTGTGGTTCCCAAGACCTCGGGAGGATGGAGTGCAATTCTAGACCTCAAGGGTCTGAATTATTACATCGCATACAAAAAATTCAAGATGCAATCACTCCAGTCCATCCTGGGAGGCATCAGACAGGGAGACTTCCTGGTGTCAGTAGACCTCATGGGAGTGTATCTCCACATCCCCATCCTTCCAGATCACCCACGATTCCTCAGGTTCTGTTACAGGGGCCATCACTTCCAATACAGGGCCCTCCCGTTCGGCCTTTCCTCGGCACCCAGAGTGTTCACTAAGATCCTGGCTGTGCTGGCTGCCCATCTATGGAAGGTACTGGTACGCGTCCAGTGCTGCCCGGACGACATCTTGATCCAAGCGTCGTCCTTCCAGGTGGCCCAGTCAGACCTGGACCCAACAGCACGGGTTCTCGGTGAACTTCCGGAAGAGCCAGACGATTCCCTCATCCAGACCTCTGCACTTGGGAGCCATCGTAGACACCACAAACTGTATGATCTGTCTTTCCCAGGAGCGGTTGGACAGCATCAGGGACCTAGCTCGCCAAATGTACAAAGACCGCAACGTCCCACTGGTCTTGCTATCTCAACTACTAGGGAAAATGGTCTCCTGCATAGCCATAGTTCCCTGGGCCAGATTCCACTTGTGGGAGCTCCAATAGTTCCTTCTACCGTTCCACCGGTTGAACGCCAGCGCATCCAGCCAGCAGGTGAAGCTCCTGGTCCAAACCCTGAGGTCTCTTCGCTGGTGGTTCTCACAGGCGGTTACCAAGGGGTCACCTTTCAAGGAGCCTGACCGCCTCACTATCACGACAGATGCCAGCCTGTTCGGCTGGGGAGCCCACCTACATTTTCATTTTGCGCAGGCCCGTTGGTCCCACGCAGACTTGAGACACAACATCAACTGGCTGGAACTCAGGACCATTCACTTAGTTCTTTGCCACTTCCACTACCGGATCAGAGGCCGTCACATATTGGTCCTTACGGACAACGTGGCGTCCAAGGCCCATATGAACTGGCAGGGGGGCACCAGGTCCAGGTCCCTCATGTCCGAGGCCCGGTTGCAGGGATCCTGGCAGAGTCCAACCTGGCCTCCCACAGGGCCGAGCACATCTCGGGGGAGAAGAACCGGCAGGCAGACTTTCTGAGTCGCTCTACGATAGATCCCTCGGAATCTTTTCTCCGAGATATCCCAAAGGTTTGGCCAACCGGTCATCGACCTGTTTGCATCATCAAGCAATGCACAACTCCCCAGGTATTTCTCCCGCTATTACTTCCCAGGGGCGGAGGGGACGGATGCCCTGCGGACTCCGTGGTCGGAGGGCCTTCTTTACGCCTCCCCCCCACTCATCCCGGCGACCATCCACAAACTGCTGCAGGAGCAGGCGGAAGTGATCCTCGTGGCCCCGTACTGGCCACGGAGACCCTGGTTTGCCGACCTAATGAATCTCCCATTTTCCCCTGTGGAAGATTCCCCTTGCATTGCATGTCCTTACACCAGGGGGTCCTCCATCACCCGGACCCTCAGTGGTTACAGTTAGCTTGAGTGCAGGATCATGACTCAAGAGTTGTTCTTGCCACGGGCAATCACTATGATTCAGGCCTCTCGTAGGTCGGCAACCAATCGCATTTATGATTCCACTTGGAAGAATTTTTGCCATTGGTGCGGAATGCGGCAACTGGATATTTACAAATTGACTATTCTTCAGATTGTAGACTACCTTCTCGACGGTCTGGACAGAGGCCTGACCTGCGACCATTCGTAGGCAGGTGGCGGCTCTATCAACATTGCTCACTTGCACGAATTCAGTCCCCCTAGTTTACCATCCTAGGATACGCGCCTTCATCAAGGGCGTATGCAACACTAGGCCTCCCGTGGTGCACAGGTATCCCTCTTAGCTGCCTCGTGTGCTTCGCGCACTCACGAAACCGCCCTTTGAGCCCATTACTACTATACAGTTACGGGCCTTATCTCACACGGTCGCATTCCTGGTTGCCATCATGTCAGCCAGACGTAGTTCCGAGCTGGCTGCTCTCTCGATCAGGAACAATCTTTGTATCTTCCACCAGGACCAGGTGGTCCTTTGGTTGGATCCCACCTTCGTGCCCAATGTCAACTCACTCTTCCATAGGGCACAGGAAGTCATCTTGCCTAATTTTGGCCCCAATCCTTCCCATGACTGGACGTCCGCAGGGCTCTGCGGCGTTACATCAAGCGCATGGCACCTTTCTGCAGGTTGAGACCCTCTTTATTTTCTTCCTCCCAGCTTCCCTGGGGCAGAAGGTGTCCGTTTCCACCATAGGCAATTAAGAAATTATTATTATCAATAATGCTCTATAGGAAGGGAAAAACAACAATGCAAATTCCAAGTTAGAATTTCTATAATTGGAATATATCATTGGATATTCCTTTAGTGCACTCTGAACTTTGCAAAAAGTGAAATATGTTATGCTGCCTATATGCCAACTTTATCTAGGAATTTTTTCACAATTATATATAGTCGTATATACTGAACCCTGTTTATAGTTCTATAAATTACTATTGCTGTTGGAATCCTCAAGCTTAATATATTTGCTAATTAATTTTCATTTCTAGCCACGTTATAGACAGATCTGTTTTACACATCTTTTCAGCTCATGAATTTGAGAGCTGAAAATACTCCATTAAAAAAAAAGGATGGTATTATGGACAATTACAACATTGTCTTCTGGAGATGTATACAAGATGTTCAAATGCACTGGAGTGCCAGATCAGTAATTTCTCACAAAAAGCATGGTGAGAATAATCTTTCTCCTAAAACAAAATCCAAGGATGAGTAATAACTTTTTTATGCATGATAAGCATCAAAAATATGAGCCTGCTGGTCTTTGCTTTTCATTTTTCTTTACCTTTTTCTCAGTCAGAACCTCCTGCAGTGAGCATCCAATGTGATCAATAACTCAATAACTTTTTTCATGCAGTAATTATCTCTGTGCGGTATTATCTGAACACTGTTTTTATTTATTACCCAAAAGATGTAGGAGATATTTATATAACCAGCTGATCCCATTTTGGACCAAGCTGTTTCTAACCACAGGGGAAATAGTTTATATCAAATAGTATTTTAAATAACTATTTCATAGAAAGCTTTCTAATAGTTTTTTCTTGAAAGTAGAAGTAATATTAAATACGCTTTCTTTAATAAAATAATTTATGTGTACGAATATATACATCAATGTGGCATCTGATTTTAAGCAGCTAATATCAAAATGGAAAGTTATCTCTTATTTGAAGAACTACTTTCATTTTTTAGACTGAGATCTTGCAAGAATCTCGAATGATGATTCCTGATTGCCAACGCCGACTAGAAGCTGCACATTCTGACCTTGTTCAACTATTAGTAAGTATGGAAGAAGAATTTTTCTATAGGACTGGCAGCTGAACTTAGATTAGTTTATATATCTTCTGTTTTGATATATCACCAAACTGTTAATGTGCATATCTCATTATTGCCAGCTCTTCAGAAAAGATGCCCAAATTAGTCTTCCTCTCCCGAAAAAACTTCCCTCTGATTTTCAGTGACTTAAGAATTTCCATTACAATCAATTAATGCTTGATGCCAAATTTTAATCAGATAATGTTTAAATTGAAATAGGGTTGATATAAAATGTGTGAAATGCAGTGTCAAAGTTGGCTTAAGGTAAGCAGGTTGATATTCTAAGCTTGAAGATGGTGTGAAGATGTGGTTGGAGAGAAAATTATATATGGGATTTGGATAAAAGAGAAACAAAAGCATAATCAGTCACTGAGCGTAATTCCTCTACCATTCTTAAATGTGAGCTTCAGACAACCCTGTATTTAAGTTAGTCTTTAAAAGAAATATCAACTTAAATATTTGCAGTATCAATTCTTTTGATACTGCCATAGGCCTACTTTTCAGAATGACTGCTCTAAGGTGTTGGAAGCTACTCCAAACCATTAATAAATACAGAGCCTGATTCTTACGTTTTCCCCTTCAACTCTATTTCTGAGTTGTCAGCTAAAGGAAAATTTCTAACCCAGCATTCACTGTTTATTAGAAGTTGTCATAGTTTTAAGAAACATTTCTTTAACTGTGGCCCATAGGACCATCATTTCTAGAAACTCTTTTCTGTATCTCTATATTCTCTTTAAACTTGGCAACTTCTTTCTTTTCCTTTCTTCAATCAGAGCAAAAAATCTATATTTTGGGGGCATAAGTAACAACAGAAAATAATTTATAAATAAGAACTTAAATTTATTGCAGGAATTAGTCTTTTTTGGATTAGTATATTATTTGCTCTCTTAAAGTATTTTTCTCATATTATTTTTTATGCATGATACCAAATGAGCTCCATGGTAGCTTAGCCATATGAAAGCACAAATATATGGTATTTATCTAATATTTAATACAGTGTAACTATTGTGGCCTTTGTGATTTGTTATATTAATATTTTTATATAGATTACTCAAAGGCTTAAAATATCATTTAAAGCACCAGTCACAAAATATAAGTATTTACAAACAAAACAGAATTAATAGATCATTGGCTGAAACTGAATACAAGTTAATAAAAATACAAGATCCTTATTGGTAACAGCAAAGGTATATCTTGTTTAGCATCCTGTTTTGACAGTAGACAATCAGATGTTGCCAAGCCTGGAGACAACACAATCAAGTCCACGCATGTTCAGTCCCTTATTTGCTTTCAGCTAATGGGCAGAATCTTGTCAAATGAAAGCTATAACCTTCTAACCTATAGATATATCCTGAAAGATTCTACGGTGAGGCTATCCTGAACCTCTTTTCCTATTGTCTATGGAGATTCTCAGTCATCCAGGTCATAGTTATCCCAAAGGTGCTTTTTTCTGCAAGGAAACTGGACTTTGTTTTTTTTTAAAGACATTTCGCTTGTCATCCAAGAAGCTTCTTGGATGAAAAATGAAATGTATTCACAGAAAAACAAGAAAGTTCATGAAAAAACCACCTTTGGGACTCTTCTTCTATCCTCCGTCCAGTTTGGGATTGTGTAGTCTTTTAATCCAGGCCTCTCTCTGGTAAATACCCCCAGTGCTTCTTCAGATGTACATTCCATCATGAATGTCTTTGGGAAGCCTTCATGTAGGACATAAATGTATTGCTTTCTCCTGCTGCTTTTTCCCCAAAATTGATGTTCATAAATATGTTGGTTATTGTCCAAGAGATACTGTCATCACAGCTAATGTAGTCATTAATGTTATCTAATCTTGATGGGGTGTATTGGATTGATTGTCATTATCTTGTTGGTACAAAATGCAACAGCCCGCATGGTTTTGTCCAGACCTCGATGTGCACATGTGACACCTCTCCTGCAGGAGCTGCATTGGTTGCCATTTGCTTCCAAGTGCAATTCAAGTTGTCGGTTGTCATCTTTAAAGCCCTTCACAGCTTGGGACCAGGTTATCTGAGGGACCATCTCTTGCCTGTCATATCTACCAATCCAGTAGAGCATGGAGGCAAGGAATGTTGCAGGTCCCATCCCCTAAGGAGATGCATCTGGTAGGACCCAGAATAAGGGCCTTCTCCGTGGTGGCGCTCTCTCTCTCTCTCTCTCTCTCTCTCTCTCTCTCTCTCTCTCTCTCTCTCTCTCTCTGGAACATCATCCCCTCAGAGATTAGACTGGCCTCCACTTTAGCACTCTTCTGGAAGGCTCTGAAGACCTCTATCTGCCAATGGGTGTGGGGAACCCAGAGCCCAGCAAATGGCTAGTTTAATGTGTGTTGTGGCTAGGGTGGGGGGGTGGAGAGTTATTACATTATTTTATTTTTCTTGTTATTTTTTTTTTTTAGGGTGTTTTTCTATTGATGTAAGCCGCCTTCAGTTGCCATGTGTGAGCAGGCAGCAATACAAATTTTCTAAACAAAATAAAAATAAATCTTGTGGCAATTTTAAATTCCACAATTTATACAGTGCATGAAAAAGCATTTCATTTTTGTCTTCTTATATTTGGATTTAAATCACCAGATGATAAGTCTCACCAATTTAAAGATGGACTGTTGTGGAACACCATCTGAAACACCAGACAGTACTGTTTTAAATTAACTATAACAAGGTCCACAATTCTTGTCCTAGCCAAATAACTCTATGATCTCATTGTTTATTATTCCTAATGCCACTGATACCAACAACAACAATTTAAGCATTATAGGATGTTGTTTCTAAATGTTGGAGGCATAGTTTTGAAAATATTTAGAAGTTTGTATTTACTTTCAGGAAAATGAAAAAGAGCTGGAAGAATCTGATGAATATAAAGATGCACAATCAGTACTGGAATCGATAAAGTTAGAGGCCTAGACTGATTTTTCACTACTTAATGGATATTCTTCAATGTTGGGTCCATTGCTACTTTTTAAAGTTTGGTCATTGCTGTATATTTGTTCTAGTAGTAATAAGAATGACAGTGAACTAAAATTGTATTTTATGCCATTACAAATTATTTAGCCCTTTTTATTTAATTTTTTGGGAAAAGCATTTTATTGAAAGTTGTATAATCATATGAGGTAAAAATAAAAACTAAAAGCAAAACAAAAGAGCATTTTTCTAATTATTTTTAGCACAAATAATATATCCAGGATTGAATCGGGTATCAACTGCATTCTCTGCCCCAAATAATGAGTACTGTTTCTGGTTCTCATTTGCACATAATTTTCAGGAATTTACTAATATCCAGAATCCAAGGTTTTTATCCATTGAAGACAATGATGAGCAACATGCTTCAGTAGCTTTCCCTCAATGTAGCTGGTAACAAGAAATAGAAAGATTGATTCAAAACATGAGTGAGGGGAGGTTAACATTTCTTCTCAGCAATTATTGCAGTTGTGAAAATATGTGTGCTTGCATGTATTGGACCTATATACTGCTGTTCTGTACATTGGAGCAGCCTCCAAAGGATTTCACAACCAATTCAGATGTCTTCTTGTGCCACATCAAGCAACATGCTCATTTTTTTCCAATGGCTGTAGAGATTTATATTCCAGCAGAAGGTTAAAATTGTTTTTTCTGCAAAATTCTGATATCCAGAATTTAAATGTTGTATATTCAAATCTCTTAAAACTGAGAATTATATTAATATAAATTTATCAATTGCCATTCTCCAAAGTGTCCCAAATAACTTCCAACACCTTTTATATCATCTTAACACCTGTTTCAGACAAAGCCTTTTACATTGATTTCTTTGTTGGTTAGAATCCTGCATTATTGGCGTCCTAGCTCATTTATAACTAGGTTATAAAGGTTTCCCTTCCTGCACATATTAGTATTAAGTACAATCGTTTTTTTTCAGGAAGCTGTCATGCCTTGAATAACATCAGCAGAGGATGTGAATATTCTGGATAACATAATACTCAATATAGCTGTTATGGTCTCAAAGTATGCTGAACAGTATTGCTTTCCTACAATATTAGATTGAAAAACTAAAATTGGAGAATATATCCCAATGACAAAATTGACATTATATTACTATAGAAATTTAACTAATCAAGTAGAAATGGTTCCCTTTTTTACAGTATATCAAAGAGAAAGATTTAGATAAGGAATATGCTTCTCAGGACTCAACAACAATTACTAGTGATTGATGCAAAGTTCAAATATGGTTAGTGGATAGGTATACAAATGGGAGGGAAAGGAAGGATATATCAATAAAACATAATTTTATGTTGTTTTACTATGTGTTTTTAATTCAAATGTAATCATTGATTCTCTTTTTTTAAAACTTCGTAATTTAATATTTCTATTTTGTGTTTCAGTATTTTAACAATAAACATACGGAAAAAATAAATAAAATAGTACATGTTCAAGACCCTAGATAGGGCAAACGTATCTAGGAGATATTTTCACACATTCTAGTCACCAATATCTATGTTTTAAGCTGGAATTCTGTTGTAAATGGTGTATGTCCAAAGGTTACAGAATACTAGTGGATTTAAATAGTGACGATAAACTTCCTGAGCTCAAAGTGATAATGTTGGTTGTTTTCCCTTTCCCCAGAAAATAGAATCCAATGAAATTGAACATTGAAAGAATCAAAACAGACAAAAAAATATTTGTTTGCACAATTTGTAATGAAATTTTGGGATTTGCTACCATGAAGCACGTTGGTTACCAGCTTGGCTGACTTCAAAGAAGGTTGGACCATTTCATAGAAGTCATAGGGATCAGTGACTAATAGCTTTGATGGCAGTGTGGCTCCTTGTAAAAGCCATCAGCTAGGAGACAAGTAGGTTTCCTTGTACAGTTGGCTGCCCCTCCCCCAACCTTTGGGACACCAGGGACCAGTTCCATGTAGAAAGGTTTTTCGGTGGACCAGAGGGGGTGAGATTTTGCATGCCACAGATGGGGCTTCACTTGTTTGCACAGACTAGTTGCTGGCTGTGGCCCAGTGCTGGTCCACAGACCGAGGATTGGGAACCCCTGGCCTAAATAGCTCAAGAGTTCTGTTCCAGCATGGCACTTCATATATTCTTATGTACAATATCATGGCCTAGGTTTAAGTGATGTACTAGGATGAAATCAAATCCTATTATCATTAAGATAATGGAAGAGACAGTGTTACATCATTGTCTCAGCAGAATGGGGCTCCTTCAGTTTGACTGATCTATTTTATTTATCACATATAGAAACTGCCATCTCCATCACAGAGTGACTCTGATCTAACATGGACCTGGGATAGTGGAATTTATATTCACATATGTTCTACAAGATTTGTCAAACCTTCAGAAGATCTGTTTATATCACCAGAAACCACAAGCTAAGCCAGATTCAGTTTTCTATGGAGGGAGCCCTACCCTAAATTTTATGAACATTAAAATCTCTTTAAATATATGAAACAAGCTGGATGTATGAAAAGCTATCAAAATGGGCCTTAAAAGAGGACTGATGCCAGACAAGCAATCTTTCGCTTTCAGTACACTTGTCTTGACAATTAGGGTCAATCATCACCATGCCAGGTGGATCAAAACTTGAGTATCCTACTATGGAACCTAGTCAGCAGGTACAGAGGGCATCTCCACTAGAAGCACAGTCACCTAAGCTATTTGCATTTGCCACTGTATTTAAGAGGGACTGGCATTTGCAAAGAAGAAGTTATTTGAAAAAGTTAGTTGTGGACAAGGATAGAATTACCTTTTGATTACCTTTTTCATGTGCAGTTAGAGGACCTTCTAAATACAGCTAGAACTAGGAAAACACTCTTTCATGCTTCACAAGCAATTTAAACATCTCAATATTACATTCCAATAGTTGGTCCAGTTCCTAGCAGTGTATGATTTAAATCCAGTGCGTGCAACTAAATGGGGCAAACAGCCATAGTATAAATGTATTATTTTAAATATATTAAAACTACATACAATGAATATGCCAATTGTTTTTTAATAACATTCAAATGATACATTAAAAATGATCATTCGAGGGCAATTCTTCAAAAGGCTCTAGAGGTTCTTAAAGAGTTTGCAACCCTGTGAAAGACTCTGTACCTCTGGCACAATTTTGTATATAAGTGTTTTAGATAATTGCTCTAGTACAGGGCTTTTCAACCTTTTCACCCATTGTACCACTTTCAGGATATGGCAACATCCGAGTACCACCAGTCGCCTAGCAAGGTGTCAAAAACTTGATGACCCAAAAAAAAAAAGAAAAAAGTGATTAAGTACAGGTAGTCCTTGACTTACAACAGTTTGCTTAGTGACTGTTTAAAGTACAATGGCACTGAAAAAGTGCTCCCCAAGCCACAGTCAAGCAAGACACCTGCCTGCCCGCCCTACAGCGTTCTTCCTCCTGTCCAAGGTTTTCATTATTGTGAGCATTTCTGTTGAGGATTGGCAGCGGGGGTGGGATGGGGGGTATTTGGTTTTTATTCCCGCCATCTGCTGGGTGATTGCAGCAGGTTTTGGTCACTTCACATGACCCTGGGACACTGGCCATCATAAATATGAATCAGTTGCCAAGCATCTGAATGTACATCACAAGACCCTGGAGATGCTGCAACCTTCCAGCTGATCGGCGCTTCTTCAGGGTTCAGTAGAAGCACCAGGATCAGTGTCGAGCTCCAGCTGGAGCCCTGACAGCCCCGAAGAAGCGCTGATCCTGGCGCTTCCACTGAGCCCTGACAGCCCTGCAGCTCCAGCCATCTCTCGCTCAGGCTTGTGCAGTGCTGTCACCGGTTCAGCTCATTCCCCTCCCCCGCTACTTTTCTAGATGGTCGTGTACCACCTGCCAGGTGCCAATGTACTACAGGTAGTACCCGTACCATTGGTTAAAAAGCCCTGCTCTAGTACAGGGTGTCAAACTGCCGGCCCATGGGCCAGATGCATATGGCGAAACCATGCCCACCCCATTGCCAGTAATGGAAAAAAAGTCACAATACATCACGACACGTCACATAACGTTGCAAGTTTGACACCCTGCTCTAGTAGTTCTAACAGCCTTGAAAAGGTTACATGTTCTTTTCTATACAATAGAGAGGATATAAAGTTGTGCAATGCTGGAGAAAGTATCATGCAGATCAGACACTTGTTTCTCAGTTATACTATCAAAGTGCATAAAGGCTGGGTCAGCAAATGATAGCTGCCTCTAAATCTGTCTTAACTGCTGCATTAAGAACTCTCCGGTTCATCATTCTAAAATATAAATTGCAATTTACACTTTCCAGATTTTTTTAGTTCAGATTTCAATTCTGTTTTCCTTGATAACCTTTCTGGTTCAGGCTGGGTTTTCAAATGCTTGAATATAGTCAAAAGTAACCTTTTAACTAAGTTAAACAATATAGTTACTATTTCATTTTTTATTGGAGAGGCTTTATGATACTTCCTCATTTTGAAGAAAAAGTTTGGTACAGAGTTCATAGTGTGTAGAATTTCAGCTGGTAATTGAAGATACTATAAGGACCTGCCTCAACTAGGTCTCTCAAGAAAGCAGAACTCTTGAAACAGGCATTGCCTCAAAAGGAACTTTTATTAGGGACTAGTGATAGCAAGGAAAACAAGGTGAGATCTGAGGAAAAAACCCACACAAGCAGTATATCAATAGTAGTATTTGTTGTCCCAGTGTCCATTTAAATCCCAGCCAATCCACAGGTGGCATATTGTTTTGGTAACTGGCTCCATTAATGTGCTCTTCAAGGTCTCTCCTAGTTTTGTTTCTCTCTGATTCCAAGCACAAACTGTCTCGTAGATAAGGTTGATGTTATTCGGCTGGATTCCTTCTGCGTAAAGGGCAAAGTGGCAAGACAGTGTAAAGCACTCCCAAAGCATCCCCCCTCCCAACAGAATGGCAAGCCAACAAAAATGGTTGCAAAAGCATGTATACTATAGGAAGAAAAGCAATAAATTTCTTCAGGGATCTGACAGATACTGGCAATGTTTTCATTTTGTTGCAGCTGCTGTTTCGTGGACTCTTCACAAGCCAGTCTTACCATAACTACTGTTGTACTTTCCAAACTATGAATATTGCTTAAATTTTTATAAAACGTTTTTCAAACCATTGTGTAAGGAAAGTTAGGTGGAAGAAGCCATTTAGACCAATGAATCCAATTCTC